GGGGTTTGTACTTTTAAATTTCATTAGGAATCTGTATATTATTTTAATATTATTACACAAAAAAATTTAATGTATAAAATTTTTTCTTTATTTCTCCTTAAAAAAGGGAAATTTCGAAGCTTTATTACTGTTATCAAATTTTTTTGCTTTATATTGATTTTCAATAAAACCCCTTCACTAACTGCAATTTGTAAAGCAGCAAAAATCTATAGTGCAACCCTTCTGTCTTTCATGCCATTAAGTTATCAACAAGCTGGTCCAAGTCAATTACGGTTCTGGTGACATTTTCCGGAGACATATAGCAATTTTAAGGGGAAAATAGAACCATTTAGGGCGGGGGGGGGGGGGGGGGGGGGGGGGAATCCTATATTTAGCTGTCAAATAGTGTGTGGGGGGGTGGGATGGGAGAGGAATAACTGACTGTAACAAACCATTAAAATTCACGTCAACATTCTGAAAGTTTACACAATATGGAATTTGCTTTAATCACAATCTAGATCTCAGCACATATAGTAATCTTAAACTTTCTCACTAACTTTCCTCTTACCAGAAAAATGTTTACCACTAGTTGCTTATCTATGAACATTAAAAATTAGCCGATTTATTATCATAACAGACCAAACTGAAAAGATTTTTGTATAAACTTACCTTGTTAGCAGCTTCTACCTTTGCTAAACTGATTGCCATCTTGGCGCTCTCCTATAGAGAAAACAAAAAACAGGTCACAAACAACTGTATGTATTATATTGTAAAATAATTTACCATGGATACAACATAAACATATCTATAGAACTACTCTTTCTTTATCTGGTTAAGTCTTTAAAAAAGTTGTTTCAAACAGTACTATATGCTGTACAGTAATACACCCTAAAAGAATTATACTTCACAAAAAGGGATTTACTCACTTGCGTTGATGCTCTAAGTGACCTTTTTTTCTTGTTGAGTTTAACGGTGCCCAATATAATATAGGTCATATTGTGACTTTCCAGCTTTGCCCTTCTATGCATTATTTTAGGCACAAACAGGGACCTGAGTAGAACCACTGACTTTCTGTATGCTAACTGGATAGCAATCTCACATGAATAATACAAAGTTGCTGACGTTATTTTAGGAAAGTGATCTTTAACCGCTTTTTACAGACTTAGTTATATCCTGGAAATATCTTGTGAACAAGAGTACATGTGTGCTTAGACCCATACATATACACGAAATGCATGTATAATGATGCTAAAATGACTACTTATCAAAACAAATTGATCTATATGATAATAATTCCAGTTTATCTGTCCTCATATTTTGACACAAAATCTATGGAATAGGGAGAAAGCCATTTTTGAATTCAAAATACCTACTGTATGTGTAGAAATATCCGCGAATTCATGTTTAGCGCGAATATTTCTACACCAATAATTTCTTAATAGCCATATTTTCGCGCTTCTATAGAACAATGTATATCAGTGTGTTATATGCGATTTTATTAAAATGTTTACCGAGTAATTGTGTTTTGTTTTGCAAGTTTTTCATCAGTTGAAATTGTTTATGTTTGTATTGTTTGTTTAGAAAAAAAAACAAATATGATACATTTATGACGCAAACTGTGAAAAAATCATGCACGTTTAAGGCCATTCTTTTGTTTGCCATAATCTGTCGGCTAGACAATGTCTTTGTTCTTAACAATAGCGTATTATTTGACACCAGGTATTGAAAATAACTGTGAACTCACACGATGATTACAGTAATTTCCCTTATTTTTTTAACCTGAGCTGAGCGTTCTACGCAAATTTATGATTTTTGCAGTCATCTCCGCGAATTCAAAATAGCGCGAATATTTGTATAGACCCCCAAAATGGACTTTTCCACGAAAATTTGCTTCCGCGAATTCAAAAACACATACAGTATTTGAGCTCCAAGGACTAAGACATGAATTGAACATTAATCCACAACTTCTTTATCAATCTATATAATAGAGGAACTAGACATACTGTTCTTGTACTATAATTATTGAATTACCTCTTTTCTCTTCATTTTCTTTTCCTTGCCTTTTGCTGACTTTCTCTATAATGAAAAGAAGTGGAAATATTATGAACAATTTTATCAGTTAATGGGCAACAACTCTGCTTTCTTTTATACAAATGCAAAACAGGCTTACCATTCTTTAAAAGAGCCAGGATAAACTATGCCTACAAACATTAAGTAAATAGTCTGACAGCAATTCCTGTACTGTACAATGTGGAAAATTGTGGCTGTATGATCCAAAGTAGTGTAACAGGAATTTGGAGGTTACCAGGGAGGAAACATGAAATACCATCATGTACGCACAAAAAATAAATTCTGCGTATACATGGACACAGAAAAATTGTCTAAAGTATATGTAACTGATATTTCCATATTTTAAAATAAATTCTTAGTGCCGTAAATGTACCATTTTTGGAGGTGACATACCACCTATATAGAAATAGTTAATAAAGGATAAAGGCAAAATTGTTTATTCTTCAAATTTGGCATTTATTGATCTTTTGTATTTGCAAATATTATATAGTAACAATAACAGTATTTCAAAGTTTGTAATTTGATTGTTATTTGTTTTATTACTCATTTCTGACTGTGACACTGATAATCATATATATAGATACAGGTAAAACTATTGCCATAAAATTTACACTGTAATATTGCTTTGATATGACTTTGCTTTTTAAGTAATTAGTAATAATAAAGTTATAATTTGTTCATTTACTTTTTTATGATAATTATTAAGCTATATATATTACTCTGTATGTATTTCATAGAAATAAGATGAAAACATATATTAATGGTACCTTTACTTCAAAATATATAAGTGGTATGTACAAGGATTTAACAGAAGCAGGATCCTGCGCGGCTGCACTATAATTAAAACGCAAGAAATACCATCATGTACGCACAAAAAATAAATTCTGCGTATACATGGACGCAGAAAAATTGTCTAAAGTAAATGTCATTTCCATATTTTAAAATAAATTCTTAGTACCGTGGGCACACAAAAATTGTTTACAAGTAACTCTTGTTTTTTTTTTATTTTTACGACATCTTAAATGTTTTGGTTAGCAGTGAAGGTGCTGGGAATCACCAATGGGTATTTATTGTAACACATCAGTTTATTGGCATTTAAAATACAGACGAATCATTACTGAACATCGTCATACCCCGGATATTATCGCCAGGAACGCTTGATTCCTAGTGCTCAGTTGTTATCTATGAAAGTACTTTCAGTTTAAACGATGACAAAACAGGCCGACTTAAGAATTTTTTTTGGTGGGGTAGGCTCAAAACGAAAACGAGATGACCATGAGCCCCGTCTCGTCGACTGTAAATGAAGCAAGTACATCATCCCAGCAGTCAACAAAACTGAAAAGTGACTGAACATTGGTCTGTCTGGTTAGATAGATACAAATAGTTAGAGCTACAGGATGAACAAATGTTTTGTAACACTTGCATTATGGCCAAGAGTTCAAGAGGACAAACCTTTTTCGAAACTTTCAAAACTCAGCATTGTATGCGTATATGATGCAGGATCCTGCCTCCGGTAAATCCCTGGAGACTAAATTAAAACAGTGTATAGTACACTTGAATTAATTGTTTAATGTCTAGACTGACTCACAGTAATAGTGATTCTAGTCAAAATAATAAAAAGTGACCTCCAGTAATCGTACAACACATATATTTAAAGCTGCATTTTATAAATTTCATAAAAACAGAAAATACTACATTAAGATTTGTTCTTGTTCTATCCTTGACGAGCCTCAGATATAAGTATCGATACACCTATAAAGGCTTTCCAAACTAGCAGACGATAGTCTATTATTATAAGTAGTTTTTAGAGTTAAGATAACCGGTTGCGTATTTTACTGTATAAATCGTACGTAAAATGGTCCGACATATGGAAGGTATAACAGTTAATCTAAATACTTTTGTGTCAAAAGATGTGTTGAAGTATATACTGTGACGAAGCTAAGATCCAAAGCTTTCCATTGGTGTGATAAATTTCAAAATCGGACATATAATCACAACAAACTAACGTAAAGTGCCTTAAAGTCGTCATGATCCCATTGTCGTCAGTTTTTTGTATTCTCGTTTACTCTCGCTCGCGTTATCTGAAAGTACCAAAGGCGGCTTATTTTGAAAGGTAAATATATTTAGCAGTTTAAAAACAGCTTAATTTGAATTGTTTCAGCAGAAGCGATATATATATTTATTTTACTCAAAGATAAAGGGAAACGAATTGTATTTTTTCACTCGATATACCTCAGTTATTTACTTAGTTCATCTGGAAAGTGTTTATGGGTGTATTTAATTAGAAATAAACAAACTAGTTTGTTAGTTAGAAGAAAAACCTACAGTACTGGACACGCGAAACCCGCAAAAGTCGCATTATGCCGCGAGTGTAGTCTATGTCGCGGCGGGACACTACGCGGTAAAACATCGCCGCGTGCAAGTTCGCCGAATTTCATGGCGGTTCACGAAAAATCGCCGCGATGTATCGCCGTAATTTACGGCGAATCTTCAGCAATAATTGTATTAGAAATTACTACTTGGTCATTCCCGTGGTCTTTAATTTTGAAAACTTTAAAAAAATCTTGTAAATGTCATGTATATTTATAAATATTTAGCATTTGAACATGTACAGCGTATACATTTTGTATACTAAAACAAAGCAATCAGGTGCTGGTGAAAATTAGTTAACAATAAAACGAGATTGAAATTACAAAAGGTAATTGGTACTACATCAAAGAACGCATGATAACAAATTGTCCAATTGTTATTTTGATTATAATACAAACATATTTAAAATCCATTGTTTAATTTCGCACATATTCTATTTTTAGAACAATGCAAAGCGACATTTAGCACCGATTCACAGGTGTAACTAATTATTACGTCTAATACGCTAATTATGATTGTTGAAAATTGTAGAAGTTTTATCACTTAAATTGAGACATTCTTTACCTTCAATTTCACGAGTAAAAAATGCCAGTGATGAGTAGCAAGATGCAAATCAGATTTTTTTTTATTTCCGTCAAATCAGCCAGGGCATTCGACCCAAAAAATTCCCTCGAAAACAAAAATAAAATCGGAGTTAAATCACACATTTAATATGTAAAGTAACGAGTGATCATTCATGAGGGCATTCTGTGCATAAAATTAGGGTGTTACTATTTAAAGTATTTACATAAATAATAATAAAACATTTCTGGTAGCAGCGGGGATTTTGTCATAAAATTGACCGAAAAAATAATTTTTTGGAAGCTGTGGTCCTTTCATATGCATTATTGTTTTGATAGCAGACACAAGTATTGCACAATATCTTCAAGATCATAAAAATGTAAATAAAATATCACAATCAAAATGCACTTACGATTAATAATATGTCAATAATTGACACAATCAATATCCAACATTTTTTTTACTTGAGCAATCATTAAACATGTGTAATCATTCCTTGACAAAAAGAAATGACTGTTTTTTTCTGATATATAAAAAAGAGGTGGAAGTCAATCGAGTGTCGGCATTTCTTTGATGATTCGGCAACAACTACAGGTGTGTAAACATCAAAGATTCACAGATTCTTCAGAAGAGCCGACCAGTCATTTGTCAGAGGTCATTTCGTGTGTAAATTTTGTATTTATTATTTAACAATGGAAACATTATATTCCTTTTATTTATGGATGCTTCTTTTTGCGCGAGTGTTTTTGTGTCTTTTAGCGCTATGGAATTTCAACAATCGGCGATAATTTTCGGTAACTAACAATTAAATATTTTAACATTTTTAAAACAGGGGTGCAAATATCCGCCATTCAGAAATTATAGGAGACAAATCTTGCGCGTGTTATTTTTTACAGACGTGTAATAAATTGAGTAATGATCACCCGAGAGAACGAAATGTCCCGGTGATCCACTATAACTCTTCCAGGTCGTACGGGAATATTTACGCAGGATTAGTTTATCACATCGGTAATTTGACCATGCTTGAATTTATGTCTTATGTAACGTTTTCAATATGGGGATACATTTGAAATGAACAAGTTAATGTCGTATCAATTATGTATCTTTTTATGTAACTAAATATCTTTTTACACATATATTATATTTATATCTGTACTTTAAACTCAATATGTATCCCCCCCCCTAAAAAATATTTTTACACGTGTACATGTACACTATTTACCTGCCGATGGAGCCGCATACTTGTACTGCGTCGCATTACATTGTGGTCATGATTCTGCCATTCACGGAAAGTTTTTAACGGTGCTTTTGATTTCGCCGTGGTTATTTATATTTGCTGTTGGCATCAAAGATAAATAGAGAAAGGCAAATTACAAGATTTTCTTGATACAACTTCATGTAGATCTACTAATTAATTTTCGTACTTGTACATGTATATCTGGTTTCAAGTTCACAGAGTACAATTATAAATAGATCTACATTTATTATACAAATGAACATGTATTATTCCCCGCGAATCACGGCAAATGTTCACAGCAAAATCGCCGCGAGTTGAATTCGCGGCAATTGTCTCAAGTTGCCGCGAATTCGCTCGCGTTATAAAGCATGAGAGTTCGCCGCGAATACACGAATTGTGCGGGTTTCGCGTGTCCAGTACTGTAGCTGTACGAACTCAAATTTTCTGGTCCCTGTTTTAAAATTATAAAATCTGTATGGAAAAGTGTTCAAAAAGTGTCAGGTTGATGGTACCCAACTAGTACTTGTAGTAGTTACACACTTTAACTCGAGTTAAATGCATAGCCACTATTTTAGAAGGGTATTGGTACGCATTTCATAATGCACAAAATAAAGAGCGACTTTACTGATGTAGATCTTGATTTCATGACCTGGTTTATGAGACACTAGCCTAATTAATTTGGCGTGAACAGTTTGACCCATTTTACAGACTTTTTTTTTCTTACTGTCAGACCGTTACGCCTAATTTTAACTGTCATTTTTACGCACGGAAAATCTACCGGCAACACTATCGATAGTTTTACTGATTTTTACTGCTTAAACCTGAAAGTAACTTCAAT